CATTGTTTTGGAAAAAAGAAAAATTCTAGGGCCTGGTCATATTTCTTCACTTCTTTAGGCCTTAGTCTCCCAAGTGATAATGCAAGCTTGGGATTTTGTCTCTGTCCCTGCCCCCTTCTTCCTGCCCATCCACTGTCCAGCACTAACCCAAGCTCCCAGAGACGAGGCCCCTTTCCACACCACTGACCAGCACAAGGCTTGTGGCTGATGTTTTGCTCTGGCTCTCACATAGGTCAGAATTTACAATGCCTCAGAAGGAAGCACCCATTTTTAACAAGCCCGCTTTCTCAGGATGGCAAATGGGAAGAAAGCCCAACAAGAGGAAACTGAAATTTGGAGGCAAAAAAAAAAAGAAGGTGGGGACCAGGTTTGCTGGTCCAATAGAGCCTGGTGTAACTACTGAGACTATGGCCCCTAGCTGCCCTGCAGGTCTGGAATTGAACCCACAACTGGGTTTCCAGCCAAACAAAGTACAGGCATGTGAGTTAAACATTTACCTCAAGTAGACACATGCCCTGGAGAGAACAATCATGGGAGAAGGAAGGGCTGCTTATGCACAGGGAGATAGCTCAGGGTGCAGAAGAGTATGAAGGGATGGACACTGGGAGGAGGTAACTATGGGGAGGAAGTGGGAGGGGAGCTGCTGCATTGTAAATTTTGGTCAATGACATGAGACAAAGTATATGTGAACTGCTGTATGAAAAGTGAATTTACTCTGTAAATCTTCACCCAAATCCTAATAAAAAAAAAAAAAAAAAGAGGAAACTGAAGTGTAAAAGTCCATTTCAAAGAACTTTACTGGAAATGCTCCAAGTCAGAATTACCATCAATAAGATGCATCAAAACCAATAGGCAGAGCCCAAAGTAATGGATGACTCACCAGGATTTTTAGCAGCTAATGCAGTACTCTGAGAATCACTGCAAATCCAATATTTTTCTCTGAAGAATTAATGTGTTATGGGAGGAGCCCTTTTTCCTAATCACTACACCACGCTTTTCATCCTCCACTTCCAGCTCACCACCAGTGTCACTAGCGCTCCTAAATTTAACTAAGTTGAATACAGTTCCTTCCAAAATTTCTATAGCATTTAAGTATAATTTACCCTATCTTACCAGGCCTGCGCAGAAGAACAGAACTTGTCTTAAAAAATATTTTCTGACCACTCCCCCTAGCCTATAAACCCTTATTTGAAGAGTCCATAAGTAAGTTTGTTGTATCAAGGTAAAGATTTCCAGAATCAAAAAAGAGATCAATACAATAAATATTTATTAAGTTCCTTCTTTAGGAAGTACAAAGAAGCAAAACATGGATGGTCCTAGCTCCCTTCCGTCTCTCCCCCCAAGGCTTACTATGTTATTAGACATATGATGAAAAAAATAATAAAAATCAAAAGCAAAATGTAAGATGATATCCAAAATAAATATTAAAAGGCGTCCAAAGTGGTGAGAGTTTGTGGCTGGGATGGTCAGAAAAAGAAACTTTTGCACATGAGGTGAAAGAAACACAGGAATGGTGAAGATGATTTCCCAGTACAAGGATTTTTGTAAAAAGGTATCTAGAAACTCCACCTGCAAAATCTCCATGTTAGCATACACCTCCATAAGAATTAAAAAGACTTTAAAGAAAAAAAGATGACTTCAGCTTTTGGTGGAGGTTTCAAAAACACAAAAAAATCTTTTGGATTTAGACTACAAACTAACTCCAGTGAAATTCATTCCTTCCTTGTCTCTGTTGGAAAGAATGTGACTGGCATTCCTGTTTGGGTCTCAGCTTCTTTTGTCATCCACACAGTCTGCACCTCTGGAGACAAGGAAGGGAGTGCCCACATGAGGCAGCCCCAGAATGAGCCATATCAGCCTATTCCAACTGAATTGTCTTAGGGGTCATTCTACTCAGTGTACAAAGCATGATATAGTCTGCCAGAACCATCATTTCCTTTAATTAAACATTATTAATTAGGAATGAGAAGGGTCCTAGCTCATGCCAACCCAAGTTCCAACATCCTTTAGCATCTAGCAGTCTTCTGTTCTATACACCCATTCACTAAGAGGTGTAAAAGAATACCCACTGTAACACTATCCATATTAGCCCAATGTCAGGACTATTCAAATATCTACCACCAGTTAATGGATAGATAAAATTGTGGTATAAATATGGAGTCCCTGGATGGTGCAAATTGTAAACTCACTGCTAACCAAAAGGAGACTGGAGGTTCAAGTCCACCCAAGATGAAAGGCCTAGTGAGCAATCTACTTCCAAAAAATCAGCCATTGAAAACCTGATGTTGCAAAGTTATACAGTGACACACACATGGGATCACCATGACTCAGAATGGACTCCATGGGCACTGATTTGGTAATATTTATATAATGAAATTCTATAGAATAATGAGAATTAACAAACATGCCACAACATGGGTGAATTTAATAAGCAAAATATTGAACAAAAGCTACATACAAAAGAACATATACTGTTTGGTGCTACGTATATAAAAGTCAAAGAACAAGAAAAATTAATCTATGCCATTAGAAGTCAAATAGTGAGTACCCTTGTGTGTGTTGGGGGAGGTAGTGTCTAGAAGGGTCATTTGAGGCACTTCCAGAATCCTGGAAACTTTCTGTTGCTTAATCTGTGAAGGGGTTACCAGAGGGCATTTACTTTGTGAAGATTCAAACTGCATACTTATAACACTTCTGAATATGAAAGTTTTACTTCAATAAAAAGTTTAGTTAAAAAAAAAAAAAGAACTAAAAACTGGTTGTTGTATTAAAGGTTTACAGTAGAATAAGAAAAGGTTTCCAGTTGAAGAACAATATGTATTCTCACCCAAAGTGAATACATAAGTTACATATATATACATATGTATATATAAAACATATATAAAGATTTAGATGGAAAAGTAATATTTTTATATTACAGACACTCATTGATGTCACAATATTAAAGAAGGATAAGCCCCAGATTAAGGATCTCTGCTTTGCACACAGATCAACAAAAATAATTACTCCATTTCATTCGTTCAGGTATTTTACTTTATTATAAGACAGAGGAAAAGAATGAAACTTCTCCAAGCTCTTTAAAAATTTCTGAAAGAAAAAATAAAATAAATAGGGTCACCAGGACATATTCTAGTATTACACAATTATCTTTTAAGAATTTCTGATCAGCCAAGAGTCTTGCAGGGACTAGATGTCCAGAGTAACTCCCACTCTATCTAAATTGCATCCTGGCTCAGGAAATAGCAAATCAGACTGTAGGCAGATCCAGACTGAGAACTTTAACCCAAACAAGTCACTCCGTTTCTGGCCACGAATATATCACTAACCCTAATCTGCCGTTAACCATAGAATTTCCCTCCCTCATCAATAACTGTAGCATACATCTTCTCTGCAAGTAAACACAAGCAAGGAGCAAACCCTCTTTCCCTCGGCACAGGTCGTCTCAGAACACCCATTTGCACAGCATTTGGAGATCACCGTTTCCTGATAATTGTGAAAATGGAGAAGGAGAAGGTGTTGTCAAGAGGAGCTGCCTTGGTAAGGAAGGTGTAGAATGAAGCCCTGCTTCAGTTCCCCAGGCGCGGAAAGCGCCAGCCTACCAGTACAGCTAGCACCTGCTGGTCCCCGGGGCCCTTCTCAGAAAGAAACTGCAGCGGACAACCTGGGCCAAGATGCTAGGCATCGCCAAAGCCGCGCAAACCTTGGCCTCCAGTGCTGCAGTGCTGCGGACAAACTCAAGACACCTTCAGCAAGGCCCCGGTAAACTGTCACCTGTCAATCACTTGACCTAAATACACCAGCCACGGGGGGGGGATGGGAAAGAGGGGGGTTAGTTGGAGCATGCTCAGTGATTGGGATGACATCATTTAATCAATGCCGGGGACGAGAAGGCAGCATCAGCAGCGTCGAGCGGGCTGCCAGGAACCTGTCAGCGGGGACCGGGAGGCTCCCATTAACTCGGTCCCTCCCCACGCCGCTGGCATACAAAGGGGACACGGTCAACCACATGCTGGGAACCGCCGAGAGGGAAGGGGCCGAGAGCAGGGTTGACATATTCCTTAAAGAACTAAAAGCCAGTGGTATCCCCTCCCCCCACCAGCAGCTCCGGAGCTTAATCCAGGGGGAAAGATGGGGAAGAGAGGTTAAGAGGGAGGGGACTTCTGACCGCACAAAGTAACTTCTGCTCTTGGCACAGAGGGGCTATTTGGCTGCGCTCTGGGTCCCTTCGCTCCACAGATGGGGACACAGCCCGCCCTCCACCCACACGAAGCACATCCCGGGTCTGCGAACATTAGATGGGGTGTCCCCACAGCAGGACACGGCAGGTCAAACCCAAGCTCTACGTCCTGGGAAGCCTGGATGGAAGGGAAGCGGAACGAGACACACCAGGCCTCCAGGGCACACCAAAGCCACCAGCGTCCCCTTCCCCCACTCCAGACGATCGAGCGGGGCAAGGTGAAAAGACGCCGGGAGCCGCGTCTAAACCACCGCGGGAGCTCCAAGTGGAGGCTAGGATTTTTCCACTACCTTATTTTTTCTTCATTATTTGCGAAGGTCGTGAGAAGAGTCAAAGTGTTCGATAAATTGAAGTGATGCCTGGAATCATTAGTGGGTTCCATAGCTCATACTTTAAGGGAGACTCGAGCACTCTGGCTTGAAGGTACCCGAACACTACCCACGCGGCATGGCCAGGGCGGGGAACAATAGGCCCACCCGGGCCCCCACCCCGCGAACAATGGCGGCGCGGAGCCCTTCTCCGCCTCCACCCCCAGCCCAGCCACCCAGGGCCCGCCCCGCCACGCTCAGCCGCCCCTCCACCCAACCTGGAGGGAACTATGGACGGGGTGGGGGTGGGGGTCACTCATGTCCACCCGGGGTCGGAGGAAGGGGCTGGCCCCACGGGGATGTCCGAAGGAGCGACCCAAGCATCTCTGCTCCGTTTGGGGGCGCGGGGCTGCAGCGCGAAGCGGGTGGGGAGGCCGTACACCCTGGCCACTTACCCCGATCACCACGGTTTCATCGCCTTTAAATTTGGGAATGAATTTGTCCCCACGGAGGATCTCCGCCTCGTTCAGGGGCCGAAACCGGCACATCACTTTGATGCTGCATTCGGCTGGATCCGCCATCTCGCCCAACGACGTGGAGGGGGCGAGGGAATGGGTTGGGGTCCTGGGCTCCGCACTACAAGGGAGGAGGCCGCGGACCGCACCGCCCGCAGCGAGGCCGCCTCCTGCAGCCTCCGACGCCGCTTCTCAGCAGGTCATCGCGAACTCCGGCAGCTGGGGAGCTGCGGTCGCTCCGAGCCGGGAAAGGTGGGCAGCCTACCAGCCCTCGGCGCCGCCCGCTACAAAACTGCCCTGCCCTGCCCCTGTCCTGCACCCCGGGCCCACCCGCCCGCGACCACGCGGCGGGGCGGACCAGGCGATGAGCAGGGAGCGAGCCTCGCCCGGCTCAGACCTCCCGGGCTCCTGTGCACTCAGCCATCCTGCATCAGCACCGCGCGCTCCGCAGCCTCCGGGGCCCGCCCTCTGCCCCGCCTTCCCCCCAGACCCGCCTCCGACTGTGACGTCACTGGAGAGCTCCGCCCGCCCTCGCCCTCGCCCTGGCTCTGAGCCCGGCGCCTCGCATCCCGGGACTTGTAGTCGCTGCACTTCAGTGGAAGACAGGGTTGTTTGGAATTGGCTTTCCCGAGCAGCAGTAGTGCCTGGGTGTGACCTCCGAAAGCCCGAAGGTTTGTCTAGCTGTCCAAGCCAGGAACAAGATGAGAGGTCATATCTAATATTCCTAGTGGTTTAAGACTTGTGAGTAATGCAAAGGGCTATGCGATTTGCCATGGATATTTGAAGTCAGTTTTTCCTGGAAAAGGAGCCATGGTGGCACAGTGGTTAAGCGCTCGGCTGCTAACCGAAAGGTTGGCAGTTAGAAATCACCAGCTGCTCAGCGGGAAAAAGATATGGCACTTTGCCTCCCTAAAGAGTTACAGCCTTGGAAACCCTGAGGCAATTCCAAGCAACCCTGTCCTATAGGTGCCCTATGAGTTGGAATCCACTCAATGGCAACAGGCTTGATTTTTGCTTTATTTGTGGAAATTCTTGACATGGATAGCGGTTCATAACATATTTTGACTCTTTTATTATCTGATGAAAGTTAGGAACCTTTCCACAGACAAAAAAACAAAAGTCCCTCACACACAACAAGATACTGCATGCTATTCAGAGTGTACTTGGTTTCCTAAAGACTACCTGTGACTCCCAGGTTGTTGTTAGGTGACATCAGTGTGCCCCTAACTTATGGTGCCTCATGCATAACTAAACACTGTGCCATCCCTATAAGGGGTCAAGTACTGTTGTGATCCAGGAGTTTCTATTGGCTGGTTTTCAGACATAGATCACCAGACCTTTCTTCTTAGTACATCTTAGTTTGGAAGCGACCCTGAAACCTGTTCAGCATCATAGCAACATGCAGGTTAAATTAACATGCAGGTGGTGGCTGCACATAAGGTGCACTGGCTGGGAATTGAACCCAGGGCTCAAGCATGAAAAGCAAGAATTCTACCACTGCCTTTTTTATCTGATGTAGGAGGCTATTTAGTGAGGAGGACAGTAAAAGTGAAGGTATGGAGATTGAATAAAAACATATGTTTATCTCTTTAATAATTCTTTTATACAGATTACATGTTGAGTGAAAATACTTTGGAATATTGGGTTAAATGCTTAAATACAATTAGCATCACCTGTGTTTGAGTTTTTATTTTGTTGTTTTACTTTTTTTCATTGGCTACTAGAAAATTTCCACCACGTGTCTGCCAATTTGTGATACTGTGATGTCTTGTGTGTTGCTGTGGTTCTGGAAGCTATGTATGCCACAGGTATTTCAAATATCAGTATGGGTGCATGCCAGACAGGTTTCCGTGGAGATCCCAAACTGATACAGACTAGGAAGAAAGGCTGGAGATCTGCTTTCAAAATTCAGTCAGTGAAACCTTAGGATTCATAACAGAGCATTGTCTGACTCACTTGCTTTGGACAAGCCATCAGAAGGGATAAATCGCTGGAGGAGGATATCATATTTAGTAAAGCAGAGGGTGAGCAAGGGTAAGTGAGACCCACAGTGAAGACATATTTGCACAATAGCCACAATGATACACTTGAACATGCTGTCAGTCATGAGGATGACGCAGGAGCAGGCAAGATTTTGTTCTCTTTTAATAAGGTCTCCATGAGTGAGAGCTGACATGACTACAGCTATCTATCTATTAGAAAATTTTAAATTATATAGGTTCACATATTTTTATTGGACAACACTGGTCTAGATGCTACTGCCAATTCAACTTGGTCAGTAAATCAGATTCAGAAAATATACTGATGGAGATTATTGTGTCCTAACCAAGGTCAGCAGTTTGAACCTGCCAGCCACTCCACAGGAGAAATATGTGGCAGTCTGCTTCTGGGAAGATTTACAGCCTTATAAACCCAATAGGGCAGTTCTACTCTGTTCTATAGGGTTGCTATGAGTCAGAATCAACTTGATGGCAATGGGTTTTGGCTTGATATTGCCATGCCAGTCAGTTTTTCCTGGAAAAGGAGCCATGGTGGTACAGTGGTTCAGTGCTCGGCTGCTAACTGAAAAGTTTTGATCTCTTGGACCATGGGAACAAAGTTGAATCCAATTTTGATGATTATCTCCATCAGTGAAGTCTCTGCACCTAGTAGTCTTATGTCAATTGTACTTGAGGGAATTACTGTGGGAAGGGGGGGCACAGGGAGTGGAGGGAATGAGAAGGGCCACCTGCCCCTCTGCTAAGGTCCCCGTGGAAGGAATGTTTTGCAGGAAGTCAGGGACCCTGGGGATGCAGGCACTGATCAAAGCAAGGAAAGTGGAGACTCCACAGCAGAGCTGAGGGAGATTTAGGAGCTGCAATTACTGAGAAGACGTGGCCTTCTCTCAGGGCAGGATGTGAGTCCAATACCCCTTCCCTCATATTAGAGGAAGATGGCCTTGAAGGGGCATGGGAAGGATAAAGGAACATCCACATAGGTCACCCAGCCTTACTGCTGGGTACTTTCCTTCACTAACCCTCCACTCCTCACTATCCTCCTGTCTATATATGTATGGTCGACTCTAAGCCCTTGCACATGCCTGATGGATTTCTTCTCTCCTGTCTGTCTCTCTAAACCCTAAGCGTCCCACAGTTTCTATAAAACCTTCCTGAATAGCTCTAGGCCAGAGTGCTTTCTCCCTTCTCAAGCGTTCTGTCCCTCTGACTTGGCACCTGATCACTCACTGCCTTGCAACAACTTTCATACTGTTTCCTGATACTGTTATCTAGTTCTCTCCACTTCACAGCATTCTTCTTCATGTTAAGTGCCTTCTGTGTATGTCCTCCTCCTTTATCTATGTTGTGGAAATCATGTGTTCTTTACATGCTTGGTAAGCATTTTCAAAATGATCGATCCAGGCCCATTGTGATCATGAAGATGCAAAGGACAAATGAACAAAAACATGGCCTGAAGTTAATGATGTTGAATTGTAGATGGAGTCTTAGATTGAGGATCCTACATTTTCCTTTCCAGGTCTACTGTTACATGCTATGACTTTGGAAAATTTATTCAACTAGTTTGAATTTTATTATTATTATTATTATTATTATTATTATTATTATTATTATTCTACCTGTGGAAATGGTACTAAAAATATTATCTGTCCTGGATAAGTGAAAATTGAAAAAGAAATATTTTGGAAATAAATGTTGGGAGAAGCTATGAATCACACCTCCCAAGAAAACATGAGAAAAACAAAGAAATGCCAATATGGATATAAAGCAACATGTATTATCCCAATGCCCAGAACAAAGTAACAACTATGATGCCAGGCACAAAATAATAACTGGAGAAATGTCCTTCATTAATTCACTCATTGAAGCGATGTGGGTTTTCAGTTGCAGAAATGAATCCCTGAGGGTCCTAATAAATGAACCATTTGCTTTAGGAAATAAACAAGTTCTGTGGCTTGGATTTTTGCTCGTGGTTAAATGAACTAGTGTAGTAAATTCTTCCAGAACAGCACCTATCCCACTGCTCTCCTTCTTGATCTAGCAAGGCCTTCACCCATCAAAGACTTGCAGGTCCTTTAAAGAGACACTTGTGATTCAGTGACACAGGTCTGCCTTCCGTGTGGGAGACACGGGATCTATTTCCAGCTAATGTACTTCATGTGCAGCCACAACCCATTTGTCAGTGGAGGACTGAGTGATGCTATGAGGCTGAGCTTCCAGACTAAGATGGACTAGGCAAAAAGGCCTGACAATCTACTTCTACAACAGACCAATGAAAACCCACTGGATTAGAATGGTCTGATCCACAGACCCAGGCAGCATTTAGTTCTGTTGTGCATGAGATTGCTATGACTTGGGGCCTATTGGATGGCAGCTAACAACAATAACAAATGAACTGAAGAATCCACACCCTGGTATAGACTAAGGACCTCAAGCCAACTTAAAGCTCCCCAACAGCAATTCCTTCCAACACTTCCACCAGCAACACATGCATGGTCCTCAACTTCACTGTTGAGATGAAACCGAAAAATGGAGAATTATCTATATCATTCATGCAAAAATGAACAATCTCACTTTGCCTTGCTTAAGACTGTAGAAATCAAAGCCAAAGCATGTGATGTTTTTACCTCCCCCTTCTCCCTGAGTTACCAGAATCATGTTCTGAGCATTCCGTTTCTCTCTAGTCAGCCCACTCCTAGAAAGCAGTTTCTGCCCAGGTCTCTACTGCCAGTAAGAAGGGTAAATTGAAGCAATTAACTGGATTGTTCAAGGAAAAAATGCCTCAGAAATTCTTCTGCCTGAATGATCTAAATAATTGCTTCAATTTTCATGTCAGCTCCCTGTCTTCAGTAGACACTGGGATAGCCATTTGACTCACACTGTGGGGTCTGCAGGTTACTGTGTGGGTTTAATCATCTCTGATTGCCCAGGCACAGCTCTGTTCCAATGAGTGCAAAGAATATCTGGCCTGGTGAAGATTAAAAACCAAACGAACAGGTGAAAATGTTTTAAAAGGCCTTAAAAGATCCCTTTAAAATTTGTAAAAAATGATCTATTACAATGGAGTAGAAAATCTGAATGTCTTTTAAAATGTATCACCTCGGTTCACGATGGCCAGGAAGCCCAGCTCAGTGGGGAAGAAGTGAAGACTGTCACACACATACTTTTAAAATGCCATCAATTATTCTGAAGGAGAAAAGCCCTTTCTTTTCTAGGAGAGTTGACACCTTGACTGAAATTAATTTTTCTAGATTGTACCTTTTGGTGCAGAGTCCATGGGCGGCACAAATGCTTGTTATCATACTCAGCTGCTAACCAAAAGGTTGGAGGTTTGAATCCACCCAGGGACTCCTCAGAAGAAAGGCCTACGTCTGAAAAATCAGCCATTGAAATGCCTGTGGAGTTCAGTTCTATGCTGACTCACACAGGGCCACCATGAG